TAATTTAAATAAAAACTTAAAAATTTCATTAATTGTAATACAAAAATACATAGCAAGAAATAAAAATATAAAAACTTAAAAATACAAAAAAAAAAACAAAATAAAATATAAAAAAACAATAATTAAAACATGCTAAAAGAAGTCTTCATCCAAAATTCTGAATCATCTACGGGATCCATGGTAAGATCAATGTTTTAAACACCGTAAATATATTCCACCAAGTCGATTACGAGAATTGTGATGTGTTTCACTGTCGGCGCTTCTTTACATGTAATCCTCCCCACTAATGTCTATTGGTTGTGTCTCATGGACAGTTTCATTTCTTCATACATATAAATCGCTCGTCCTTCGTCTTCTATAATCATATTATGTAATATGATACATACATATATTACCTCTTTAAGTTTTCCCTCCAAAAAAAAAGTCTTGGGTTTTTTAGTATGTGCTGACGTTTCTTAAGATCTCCAAAGGCCCATTCTATATCGTTCATATATCTCTCTTAATCTTTAATTTTTTTTCCTCTCAATATCATTTAGACAGGTAAATGATCTAACAAATACAACACACTCAGGATAGATCTCATTAACAAGATAATAAGTGTACTTTTATGATGCTCCATTCATTTGAAAGGAAGAATTTAGTGCAGATCCATCGTAGATGTCGTTGAATAGCGATAACCTATTAAAAATGTTGATGTCATTAAGAGAACCCGGAGAACCAAAGAATGCATGCTAACTCTAGTGATCCTGTGAGGCTACTACTTCAAACATGGTCATCAGGTGACCATGATCACCTCGTGTGTATTGACCATGCTAGGTGGTAGGGTAATTTTAACATGCCTAATGGAGGTAATCTAAGCTTCCTAGCATTCTCGGAAAACCATATAAACTTGCAATATGAACTTGAAATTGCATGGTGTCTTTGCTTGTAGGCTCACCTAAATATCACAGACCATAAATCCTAATCACAAATTTGCAAAATTTATGTACATTATCTAGTGTGGTTGTCACTGACATCCTAAAACTCCCATCCAATTCAACAACAAAAATGTCATATGCTAGTTGACAAAGTGCAGATGTGCAAGTTTGTAATAGAGTAAAACCTAGTGTACCATTTGCATCATAACGTTGTTAGAAAAATCGATACACTCGTCAACTCTTCGAATTTATCTTGATATAAAGGTTTGAGCATTCACAACCATCTTCAAGAATAGTGCCCTTGAGAAGTTGCATGCTCTTCAAAGTAGAAAAGCATCAAAAGTTGGTGGCCAGCTTCATGATGACTTTGTATATAATTTCATGATTTCTAACACGAACTTTTGGCTTCGTCATTGCATAAAGCATCGAATGTTGTCTCAAACTCTTTAGTAGCCCCCATCATCGCTTGTATTACAACATCAAATGTTCCTGGAGAGGAAGATGATGAATACATTTTAAGTGAAATGAAAGAAAGCAGAAGTATGGTAAGGTATAAAATGATAAGGTTGATTGGTATTTATATATAGTTAAAAAAAAGTAATTTAAAATTAAGTCGTTTGTAAAGAGAGAGAAAGACATTTAATAAAAGAAAGAGAGGAAAGATGCTCGGAATCTGGAAACCAAGCTCGGAACAATACGCTTACCAAGAACGGTGTTGTCATAGTCCTTACCATGTCACAACCATCTTAGGCCTCATTACTTCATAAACCACAAAAAAAGAACTAGGTGATTGTTTGAGCAAAGATTAAATATCCTTCTGTCTGTTGTTCCTACTTATATAAAATAATGACATGAAGAATCCACTAATTCTTTCTTTTAATCGCTCTTTTGATTTTTACACTTGTCTTAATCTAATGAGTTTGAAGATGGATGGAAACAAAATGTAGGAGGACATTTGATTTCTCTTGTTTGAGAGACCACGTTATGAGTCCACTAACCACATGTTAAAACATCGTATGTAGGGGTTGACAAGGCTTTAGACATTATGTGGGTTTCTATGACTTTATGTATATTTCTATCTAGGACGTAGCACCTTATGATCATTATGTTCCAAAACCAAATATAAATAACCGATATTGGTCATAATAATGACAAGGAATTTCGAGGAGCCGGTTTTGTTGAAAATAATCAAGTTTCGGGCTATTCCTAGGGTACAATAATATGTCGAGGAGCATAGAAGGCAAAATAGAGATATGCAAAAAGATTCTAAACCAACTAAAAATCAAGAAAACCAATATTTTCTATAAAATTAAAAATAATAGTAGTTTTTTTATTTATTTTAGAACAAGTTATTTTTTCAGTTTGGTTTTTTTAAAAAAAAGTTCTAAAAGGCACATCAAATCGTGGCTACGCCATCTTGAAAACCTTCATGGCGGTGAAGTTTGACGTGGAGCGTGCCAATGCTCACTTTGTTTTTTCAGATTGGGCATGGAAGCAATGAGTTCATTGTTATCTTTTTTTGTTATTTAGTATTGATATAAATCTTCAAAACATATTATATTTAATATAACCCTATAATTATGTGATTTTTTATGTATATTTATGTGATTCCTTTTTTTATGCATACAAAATTGTTCCCTCGATTCATTTTACATTTCAAGCGTCTTTACTAGTACTAACTCGTATTCTAATAAATGAATAGTTTTAATCTGCTTTTGCCAAGTGTCACTCTAATACAATTCGTCATTAATATTATGACATGTGTCATGTAGATATATTAGGCAACTTATTTCAAAATTCAAATTTATATTTTTTAATTATATGTTAAATTTGAAGTTATAATAACTTTAAAATTTTGATATATCTCTTAATTAATAATTTATTTAAAATAACTGATTAATAATTATAAATTTTTACTATAAAAGTTTAATTAATTTTATAACCGTGGTTCCCACGGGTTATAAACTAGTAACAGAATAAACCAAAAGCATGTATTTGATAATTCTAGACATGATTTGCTTTGAGTTATTTGTCTAGAGAAATCTAACATAAAGTCTCCCTTTCTTGTGTTCCGGATTTGCAGGGATTGACTAAACGCTTTAGGGCATTAAATAAGGACATTGACGAAATGTTCGAGAAATTAATTAGTGAGCATGAAGAACGTAGTCTTATTGGTTCTCAAAAGTCCGATGAAATGGATTTCATTGATGTATTATTGTCACTAAAGCACCAATATTCAAACACCCATGAGGAGTTGTCCTATACAATTGATAGGTCTAGCATGAAGGCCATTTTACTAGATATGGTAGCAGGCGCCATTGACACTGCAAAAACATCCATTGAATGGATTTTAGCTACACTTATCAAACACCCGAGAGTGATGAAGGAACTCCAAAAAGAGTTGAAGACTGTGATTGGAGATACACAAGTGGTTGAAGAAACAGATTTGACAAAGTTAAGTTACTTGCACATGGTAGTTAAGGAGACTTTTCGGCTTTATCCCGTTGCTCCATTTATGATTCCTCATGAATCAATGGAGGATATTGTTATTAATGGCTACAATATTCCTAAGAAGACACGAGTTCTTATAAACTATTGGGCATTTGGACGTGACCCAAAAGTTTGGTCTGAAAACTGGGAGGAATTTCTTCCAGAAAGATTTCTTAAGAGAGATATTGATTTCCGTGGACCTGATTGTCAGCTTATACAATTTGGCATAGGAAGAAGAGGATGTCCAGGAATGAATTTGGGGTTGCTGAACATTGGCTTGGTGATTTCCAACATAATACATTGTTTTGATTGGGAGCTACCAAACGGCATGTCACCAAGTGACATGGATATGAAAGAAAAGTTTGGATTAACCATCCCTAGGGCTGAGCCTTTATTAGCCATTCCAACATACCGTACCTGAGGAAGAGGAGTTCAACTTTTGTTAAATACATTTGACAGCTATGATAAATGAAACACAAAAAGTGGGAGCCTGTTTAAATATGAATACATCATTTTTGTGATGTTGCATGTGTGTATATGTGGAGTTTGGTATTTTGCTTCTACCTATGAAAAAATCACATTTTAATGAATGTTTGGCTTCATGAAAGTAATTGAAAATTTTAGTATGTTTCTAGGTGACATCCTTGTGTGATTAATCACACGATTACGTAGTTTTCAAGAAAAAAATTGCGTTGTCTTGTGGGTGTATTGAAAAGGAGGCATCACAATTGTGTTGGACATATTTGGTTCGGCTGAGCGAGCACGTTTCACAAAAAAAAAAGACAAGGATAGGATGCAAATAATCAATTACTCTTATAGCCACAAATAACCACTGGTTTGACTTGGGTTTCGATCTTGTGAGTTTAATTACAAAAATCCTACGAATCAATTTAGGTTAAAGAAGACAGAGATGTATTGCTGATAAATACATTTCTAATTTTAAAATGCACTGTTAAGATACATATACGATTATAATAAAATCGACAAACTATGAATAAGATAGATGTCAAAAGGTTTGGAAGAAAGTGTATTTAAAATAATAATAATAATAATAAAATAATAAAATAAAATGATTTACCAATGTGACCAACTGTCATTTTTGTTCAAATTTGGTTATTTTTTGTAGGACAAATAAAATTACCTAAATTGTTTTAAAAGTACCAGTAATTAAAGGTTACTCCGATCACCATTTATCTGGTGTGTACATTAAACTTTTGTGGGTAATTGAGTTTTGAAGTTATTTAGTCATTTTTTTATAAAATTATATTATATATTAGTATGTTTATCAAACAAATTATTAATTTTCATACAATTTCTATAACTTTTTTACATTTATTACAGTCTTTGGATGTTCAGAATAAATCACAGCCACTCTAATTCCATCTCAATAGTTATAAATCGGTTCTTTTGCTCGATGTTCAGCTGCACAAAGCACGATGTTCTTCCCTATGTCCCCTTACTTATCCTACACCCAGGAAAGAAGATGTAGTCTTGCACAATCTCACAAAGTTTTTTACACGATCAACTTCCATGTGTCTCAAAACCTGCAACTCACCACACCTCTTCACCACATTGCATTTGGCTCCCAGTTATTCGCACTTTCTTCTTTCAAATGTTCCTACTGTAGTTGCACACGTCACCCTTGTTCACTCAGGTCTCATAGCATTTGCCTTTGGCTCCCACGTTGCCTTTGGGATATTTTCAGGAGTTTGACGAAATCCAATTTAGTGAACCTCTAAGGCAGAGGGTCGAGCAAATAGAAGTGCTCGGTATCGAAGTTCTGTCTGTGAAATTTCCGGTTTGCGCTGGAAACTCTCTATAAGCTAGCTACACTTATTACTCTTAAAGTGTAACTTATATTTATATTCATAGTCGTTGTTACGAATATA